AAAAAAAGAAGTTAGACTAAATTAACATTAAAAGCATAGCACAGACACTTCTGAGTATCTAAAAAAAAAAAATGGAATCTGCCTAACTCTATGCCTCCCAGTTTTACCTCCCCAAAACAAGAAGGAAAAAGTAAATCTATAGGCAGGGCATGATGGCTCACACCTGTAATCCCAGCACTTTGGGAGGCCGAGGCAGGCAGATCACCTCAGGTCAGGGGTTCAAGACCAGACTGGCAAACGTACCTATTAAAAATACAAAAATTAGCTGGGCATGGTGGTGCATGCCTGTAATCCCATCTACTTGGGAGGCTGAGGCAGGAGAATTGTCTGACCTCAGGAGGTGGAGGCTGTAGTGAGCCATGATCACACCACTGCACTCCAGTCTGGGTGACAAGAGCAAGATTCCATCTCAAAAAAAAAAAAATGTAAATGTAATAGAAACTATATCCTCAGAATAATTTGAATACAGAGAATGCTAATACCTCAATATAAATGTGAGTAAAAACAGAAAACTTACCAAATCACAGGATACAATCTCTCATGCTCCCACCCAACCCAAACATCATGGAGTCTTTGCTGTAAACAAAAGAAAAGAAAAACTACCAGAAAGACAGAAGAGAGAATACAGGAATGGGGGGCTAAAGATGATCTGTAACTATTCCCAGAAATAAAGTCCATGTTAAATCTGAAAATACTAACAACAACAATAACAAAACTGAGTAGATGAGAGCAGAGCTTACAGGGAAGGAATTCTGAAAGTACATGTGAGTTAATGGGGTAAACATAACTTAAAGGGGTAGTTGGGCAGTCTTTGTACATAGCTTCTGCAGGAGGAAAAAAGGGCAAAAGGGAAAAGGCCCTTTAGCTATTGGGTAGTGAAGGGGAAATGAAACAAAAGGGGATAGGGTCCTAAAAGACAAAAGACAATCACAAAATCAGAGGATTCACAACCCCTTCCCCTCCAAAACAAAACACACACACACACACACACACACACACACACACACACACACATACACACACACCCCCTTATTACATCTATCAATCTCCCCTTCTACATAGCCTTAAATTTTCTCACTGAAGTCACATCTTTAAGTTACATACCTACCTCTAGAAGAAATTTACCTAGATGATCACCATTAACATACATAAAGCATGTAAGACTACGGCAAGGTGAGCACTTTATAAGGGTAGATTGATAAATGGAACAATATAGGTCGCTGTACTTCTTGGGCTCGCTGATTCACTAACATTTCTCAGCCTGTTTTGAAGTTATTCTAGATGTAGCCCTGTGACTGAATTATTGATGTGGGAATCTTAAGAAACGTACTTTGCTTCCAGGTCAATCCCATAAAAATCTCTTACATACAATCCTCTTTTCTCTTTTTTTCCCCCACACTCCCTGCTTAATGAAAAGAACATACTAACCTCCAAAGCCATGAGCTAAACAGGCTAGAGCCACAAGCTAGAAGCCTGGATCCCTGAATCACTGCTGAAAGAGCGCTTGCTCTGTGGCAACTAGAAATACCTGATTTAAACTTCACAAAAGAAAGAAAGAAACCTCTATCCTGTTTGAGTCATTATTTGTTTGGGGTTTGTTTGGTACAGCAGCTAACAGTACCTTGAGTAATACGATGTGTTGACTAATTATTTCCTAGGGAAGCAGAAAAATCTTTTCTAGGGATATATGATATAGAAGATGTATTCTTCAACATAGGGGGAAGGGTGGTAGCAGAAGAAAAATAAGAATGACAGAGAAATCAGAATGGTTCTGAACCATGGTTAATGAGGAGGTGAGATGGGTGCTTACAATTTGAAAGAAGGGACACTTTAAGGTGAAAACTGTATAAAAGAATAAATAAATTATGACGTAATATGGTTTTACTGCAAACAATACTGATCATAAAAATGTACACTCTGAAAACTCAATCAAAACTGAAAACTATATTAGGGAAATGAGATTTGAAGAAATGCATGGGAGGGCAATTTGTCTTCTAGTTTCATTTGAACCAGGATGGTTTACACCCAGAGTCTCACTCACACGTAATATAAATGATTTAGATAATAAGACTTTTGAACTGATGATATTCAGATAATATTTTGGACTCTGAGTTGATGCTATAATGTCTTTGTAGATCAGGGTAAGATACTTTTTTTTATTTGAGGTATAATGAGAATCCACAGAAAAATTTCAACCAGCAAAGTAGTTGGCCTGATTTACATTTTTGAAAATCACTAATACTGAAAGGAGATAAAAATGCAAGTAGGGAAACCAGCTAGGAAACTATGACAGTGATCTAGGCAAAAGAAGACAGAGAACTAGACTACAGTGACAGCAGCAGGGTGAAAAAACGAAGATAAATCGAAAATTATACTTTGCAGGTAGAACTGATGGAACTTACTAATAAATTACATGTGGACAATAAGAGAATGAGAGAAATACAGGATGATTCTTAAGTTAGAAGTTGAGTAACTGGGTAGATAGTGCTATTTATTAGCTGAGATGGAGAAAACTGAGAAAGGTCTAGGCTCAGGGAAGAAAATCAAGACTTGCATTTTAGACATGTCAAGTTTTTATTCTAACAGACATCCAGATAGAAATATCAAGTAAGTCATTTGATAAAAGAGCAGGGAGCTCAGACAGCCAAGAGCTGGATTCATAAATTTGTGTGGCATTTAAAACAACAGAACTAGATAAAATTGAACAGAGGAAAAAGATGGAAAAATGAGTGAGCCCAGGACCAAACTCTTGGTACATGACATATTCAAAGGTCTGACAGAGGACAGAATTTAGCAAAAGAGACAGAAACAGCCAAATAGGTAAAAAGAAGTTGTGTCCACGCACAGTGGCTCACGTCTGTAATCCCAGCACTTTGGAAGACCAAAGCAGGCAGATCACCTGAGGTCAGGAGTTCAAGATCGCCTTGGCCAACATGGTGAAACCCTGTGTCTACTAAAGACAAAAGATTGGCCAGGTGTGGTGGCACACGCCTGTAGTCCCAGCTACTTGGGAGTCTGAGGCAGGAGAATTGCTTGAACCCACAAGCCGGAGGTTGCAGTGAGCCGAGATAGCATCACTGCGCTCCAGCCTGGGCAACCAAATGAGACTCCGTCTCAAAAAAAAAAAAAAAAGAAGAAGTAGTTGTGATGTCTGGTTGAGCTCAGTGGCTCTCACCAGTAATCCCACCATTTTGGGAGGCCAAGATGGGCAGATCACTTGAGGCCACAAGTTCAAGACCAGGCTGGCCAACATGGTGAAACCCCATCTTACTAAAAATAGAAAAATTAGCCAGGCACAGTGGCGTGCACCTGTAATCCCAGCTACTTGTGAGGCTGAAGCATGAGAATAGCTTAAACCCAGGAGGTAGAGATTGCAGTGAGCCAGGATCTCGGCACTACATTCTAGCCTGGGCAACAGAGAATCTGTCTTTGAAAAAAAAAAAAAGAGAGAGAGAGAGGAAAAAAACGGAAGTTTTGATGTCAGAGGTGTCATTTCATTAGAATCACTGATATTGCTATAATTATTCTACTTTACATTTTTTTTTTAAGACAGAGTCTCACTCTGTCGCCCACGCTGGAGTGCATTGGAACAATCTCGGCTCACTGCAATCTCTGCCTCCTGGGTTCAAGTGATTCTCCTGCCCCATGATCTACTCTACAGAAGTCTAGCATAAAATGCAAAAGCTTTAGCCCAGGGCATTAATTCCAAAAATATTAAAAAACTTATGAAATATCCACTGTACTGAATACTAAGAAGATACATAAACAGAGATTCAGACAATTCCATGACATGGCTATGGTGTGAATAAATTTTTTAAATGCAGAATTAAAATTCTATAGATAGATGGAAAAGAGTGAAAAAGCTGGACTAACAGAGAAATCTAGGCAAAGCATACTTGAGAACTACCTGGATAGGAATAGAGACAGCAATAAAGAACAACCAAAAAACACAAAAGGCCATGATAAAAAAAAGATATATTCAGCCCATCCTCTATCCTTATCTAATTTTCTCCATTGTAGTTTTCTCTTCCCTTTGTAGCCACAAAAGACATTTTCATTTTCTTACTTCTAGCTGTCTCTGTTCTTGCCTTGATTCTCTTTTCACTTGACCACAGCTTTAACAGCTTTTGATTCCAACTGGTCTGTACTGTGTCTTTTGCTATCCTAACAAATTAAAAGTTTTTAAAAGTTTTAGAGGGACTGGGTAATAACCCTAAAATTATTTTAAACATTTTTAATAGTTCTGGGCTTATATATATTGCAGAAGGCCACAAATGTTTATGTAGAGAAATAAAATAATGCATAAATTTGTCTATCCCCTACCTCCATTTTAGGTAAAAAGCACAAATCAACAATGGTTATAGCATGAGAATCAATCCTAAATTTGAGATTTCACGAAACTGACTTCAATTTCCTCCTTTGTGGTATCAGAGGAAAGGTATATGGAAAAGCTATAGTTTAATAAAGGAAGAAGATTTTAAATGAACAGCAATTGCATGCAATGACTCACAGATAAACTAGTATGACCATGTCAATAATGGTCACATAAGTTCACCTAAAAAGGATTAAAAATTATTTCAACTCTAAACAAGCTGAGGTTTTTCAGAGCTATCAAGGACTTACTGAAAATATGCTAACATTTTCCTGTCATGCTTTTCATACCCAGGTATCACAAATAATGACACTGCTCCAAACTTCCTTAGAGTGAAGTCTCTCTATTAGGGATGAGAGGAGTGCTGTTAGTTGGCTAGACTCAGGAGGGCCAAGTGAGTTTTGAAGAGAGATGCAAGAAAAGCAAGTGCCCCAAGTTTAGAAAGAGACAAGAGTGGTAAATTTTTCAGGATTTCTTCCCCTGACCTCCCCAGGAATCTCTTTTCTTCATACCATTTCACAGATTTGTGATTATTTATAAGGAGTTGTGGGGACTCCCAAGGTTCTCCTGATTCTTCCAAATCTAGAGAATACCTGATTCTTTGCCTCCCACCTAGTAACTGAATTACCTTTCCTGGGGCCACTTTGTTGAACCACCCAGTTGTCAGGTGGCTCCTTCTAAGGAAGCATAGACAGTTGTTGGTGTCAAAAGATGTTGTGGTCTTTGGATATGTTCCCGATTTGAATTTCAACCAACTCCTCACATCTCTCTGATGGGGTACAGTAATAGAACAGAAGTCAATGGGAGATCAGCATGCACTCAGATTCCAGATTCTGAAAGGGAACAAAAATCAAACCCTCCATTCTTTGCCTCTTCACCATGTCTAATAACCAATATGCTAGAAACCCGGCTTTATCACACCATCAAAACTAAATGTAAAGCAACAACTCTCAATAACAACATAAGTAATATGCGCTTTATAAATGCTTAAGTAGTTAATACAAATATTAATATTTACTAAAATTTACACTTTATAAATACAAATTATCTGCCATCCTACTAAAATGTATTACACCCTTTGAAAGTATTCATTTAGTATTTAAATATCCATGCAGGGCAACAATTTACCTTTTCTAATACAGATAAGTTCATGTACTCCACAGGTTCTCTCTCCACCTGTTAAAAAAAAAAAGTTTATTAGAAGTTAAAAACATAGAAAGTAGCATGAATTTGACTGTTACAAAGAATCATTTTAAATTAGCACCTAAAAGTGACCTCAGGAAAAGTTTCCCTAATCCTTCTTTTCAGACTTAATTAAATGATATGATAGCCTGATATCATAATTTTCTGGAACAATCCAGAAATTAGGTCTTAGGAAGCCTCAAAATGAAGACACTTCATTCAAATATGTGATTTTGAATGGCAAGCTTCTGAACAGCAGAAATCATATCACCATTTCCCAAGGATCTCTCCACATCATCTAGAAGGAAACACTGCAAGAGAGGACCCACTTTTGTATCTGAGCCTTCACATATACAAATAAGTTATTGAAAGGTCAATGCTCTAAAGTTACTATTTATATTTTATCACATATATTCATATTATATATTCTCCAGCAAGCCACCATTATAAATTTGTTAAATTTAATAGTATGATAAAAACAAATTTAACTTTAAAAATTACTTTGATTATTCTTTTTTGGAAAGTCTTTTGTAATATATATATATTTTTTAAATCTCTACTTATTGGGCCAAAAACCAAAACTACAGAAAGTGCAGAAATATATAAAAACTTCCATGTAATTATCACAAAGTAAGCACCTGAGCTACTACAAACCAAGGCAAGAGCCAGAACTTGGCTAGTATCCCAGGAGTCCTTTTACTCATCTTCCTAGGCACTACTTTTGAGTCCCAGAAGTACCTAATCTCCTGAGTGCTATCATTACAGCTTGGTTTTGTCTGCTTATAAAATTTACACAAGTGGAATTGTCAAGTGGGCATTTTTGAGTCCTATTTCTTTCAATATTAGGTTTGTAAGATCAATTTATTTTATTATTTATAGTTGTGACTCATTCCTTTTCATTTCTGTATAGAATATATACATATTTTCATGCCTACATATGCATAAATTTCAGTTCTACTGTTCGTAAACATTTGGATTGATTTGGGTTTGCTGTGACTAATTCTCCTATGAACCTTTTTATATAATACTTATCTCTTTGTTTCCCACATGTGTGCCTTGCCTGCCTTTCTTCTAAATGTATTCCTATGAGAAGAACAGCTGGGTTTATGGGTCAAGTGTATGTTTAACTTTAAAAGATAATGGCAAATGGAATGGATAAAGAAAATACGGTAAATATATACAGTGGAATACTATGCAGTCCAAGAAAAGAAGAAAATTCTGTCATGTGCAACAACAGGGATGAACCCAGAGGACATTATACTAAATGAAATAAGGCAGACACGGAAAGAGAAATACTGCATGATCTCACTTGTATGTGGAATCTACAAGCCAAATTCACAGATGGAGGGTAGAATCATGGTTACCGGAGGTGGGAGGGCAGAAGGGAATCTAGAGAGGCAAGACAGGAAAAGTGGGGATACTGTAAAGGGTACAAAGTTTCAGATAGACAAGAAGTTTTAGAGATCTACTGCATAGCATGATGACTACAGTTATTAATAATGTGTTGTATATTTCAAAATTGCTAAAAGAGTAGAGCTTAAATGTTCTCACCACAAAAAAGGTGAAATGACTGATATGTTAACTGGCTTGATTTAATCATTCCACAATGTATACATATATCAAAACATCACATTGTACCCCATAAATACATACTTTGAATATTCTAATTTGAGTAATTTTATTAGTTACTACTTTATAGACATATTTCCTTCACTTAGAAGCATGTCACTACTTTAATGTAAGCTGAAAAATATTCTGTAGTGTTCTGTATGTGTATGACCTTATAATTATGTTGTGAATTACTTTTAAACTTTGCATAACAAAAATATTAAATAATGTAATCAGTTTGGTTTATTATAGAAGCTTATTATAAATAGCTCAGTTATAAGAAACAAAAATATCCTACAGCAATAACATAAGAAGTAAAAACTATGATATTCACTAAAAAAAGTAGGTCATCTAAGAAGCAAGTTAAAAAACCTAGAAAATAGTATTTCTATCATCAAAGTAGGTTAGATCTTCACTTGACTTTGTTGTAACAATGGCATTGCTTCTTTATTATTAAAAATACAGAATAATCACTGATCATCAGGAAGATAGGCTTTGCAGGAAGAAACACCTAACTTAAAGCTACGGTTATAAAAGAATTATTCAGCAAAGCCCCAGTGTAAAAAAACAGAGTGTTAATTGGAATATTACCAGTGACCACAGATCACTTGCTGAAAGGTTAGAATGAAATATACCTACAGACTACAGTTCTTTCAGATTGAGGAGATTCTAGTCCAATGACTGGATAGTTACCAAATTATGACAAAAAACTATTTTGAGACATTAGAAAGGTCATGTAATAAAAATAACATAATCATAATATATTAATATATTGAGGCATATGATGTTTTGATAGGTTACTTAGAAATATTTATTCTCTGTACACATTAAGGCATATTCTCTAGAAGTTACATGTGTAACTTAGTTTGAGTTACATCATCAATTCACGTAAAAAGGCTGTACTTTTTCAAGCCTATAATGAGAACTAAACTCTTCCCCATATTTAATATAAATCGATTAGGTTTTACCACACACACCTAATCTTAACTGTAACAGCATTGTTTTACAAGGCTTAATATATACACTAACAATAAAAACTACTATATTCTAAGATATTTCTCAAGACTGCAGAATGACAATGAAAGCTAATTCCCACTTTTAAAAGCATTCAATTTATCTAAATCATATAAAAGAACCTCAGAAATTTTTAGGTTACACAAATAATCGTTACATTTCTAATTTACAGTCAATTAACTGCCACATTTGTCAAAGTACTCACAAAAGTCACACAAGCAAATAAGACTATGCACAAGTTTTTTTTGATATTTGTCCCCTAAATTCTAACCAACAAATAAGATTTCACTGATGTACATGTGGGACTCAAAAGCAATCACTATTCTTATGAAAATCAACAGGAATACTAAGGATACATAAATTCCAGACAATAAAATAAAATTCAAGAACCCTGCTTTAAAAAATACAAAAGAAGAAATACAAAAGTCAAATGAATTTATTACATTATTGGAAACTGAAATTCAGTGCTGCTTTTATCCCTAATCCTTCCTAAGACTGGGAGGAGTGTAAGGAAAAAATATGCATTCTCTACGTAAAATGTAAATTTTTTAATGTATATGTCTGTTTGGAAGTCAAAGGCTTAAATACTTTCTCAGTCAGAGGTATGTTGTACTTTGTACAAATTTTATGTCTTACTTTGCCTTGAAAAGTAAATCTGAAAAGTTTCCAAAAGAAATGTTAAATTTGTAAGCAGGAGGCAAGAAAGACACTGCAGGCATGCCTTGACTTAGGTGTGGGGTAATCCAAAAAGAGGTGTACTGCTTTTAACAGTGTAATGCACAAGAGGGAATGATTATTTAAAGCAGTTAGCCAGCATCTTTGGAAAGAGACGAATTAATGTTCCACTAAAATAAATAATCGTCCCCAAAATGAACTCCTACATAAATACAATTTTCCACACGTCAAATTTAATTCAAGAAAATGAAGACTGGGCCACCATATTAGAATGACATAATGTAAGACACTAGAGATCAGAAATACATTTGTCTAGTTCATTATTGTATAGATTAATGGAGGCCCCAAAAGTTAAAGTTGTTCAAGGTCACTAGTTAATTGTCAGAAAAAAAATAGAACATTATGTTTAATGTATTTTGGAAAGTAAATATTGATTTTTCTTCATTTTTATGAAAAAAATGAAAGCTATGAAACTGTTTTCCAATCCTTTAAGGTAATTTAAATAGAACTGCATTAAAAACTATACTTGGAGATAATACTAGCATTGCGCTTGAAATAATCATCTAAGCAATATAGAAAGGAGAAACAGACAGAAAATGATAAGCTTAGTCAAAGTTACCATCTTTTCCCTCAGGCAAACCCATGTAGAAGCATAATGTAAACTGGCATAATCCTCTACAACTGGCATAAGGGGTGTAAGAGAAAATAGATGTTTGTGGGCACACATGTATGCATGATTATGTGCATGTGTGTTTGTATATGAATGTACACATAAGTGTGAGTATGACTGGAAATTGGAATTTTTAAAATAAGAGGATCATTACAACATATGTACTTGCCCACGTTTACAGAAGCAAAATGTGTATTACGTGGCAGCCCCATTAAAATACATCCAGGTACAGGCATACCTCAGAGATATTAATGGGTTTGGCTCCCAACAACTGCAATAAAGTGAATATCGCAATGAAGCACGTCACACAAACTTTTTGGTTTCCCAGTGCATACAAAAGTTACGTTTACACCAGACTGTAGTCTATTAAGTATGCAATATCATTGTGTCTTAAAAAAGTGTTATGCATCTTAACTTAAAAATAATTTATTACTAAAAAAAATTAATGATTGTCTGAGCCTTCAGCAAGCCCTATATTTTTGCTGGTGAAGGGTCTCGCCTTGATGTTGATGGCTGGTGGTTAGTGAAGGTTGGGGTGACTATGGCAATTTCTTAAAATAAGACAATGATGATTTACTACATCAATGGACTCTTCCTTTTATGGAAGATTTCCCTGTAGCATGCAATGCTGCTTCACAACATTTTACCCACAGCAGAACTTTAAAAATTGGAGTCAATCCTCTCAAACCCTACTGCTTCTTTATCTACTAAGTGTATATAATGCTCTAAACCCCTTATCATTTCAACAATGTTCACAGCATCTTCACCAGTAGATTTCATCTCAAGAAACCACTTTGCTCATCCATAAAAAGCAACTCCTCATCTGTTCAAGTTTTAGCATGAGATTGCAGCAATTCAGTCACATATTCAGGCTCCACTTCTAATTCTAGTTCTCTTACTAGCTCCACCTCATCTTTAGTGGCTTCC